TCTTTACTTTGTGTATACAGTGCCTACCACAATGAGGCCCTGATACAGAACTTGGTGCTATCATAATAAAAATAAAAGGCTGACTGGATTTGGCTAATGCTCTGATGCATAGCCTGAAACGTTAGCTTTAGTAAAGTATCTATCTAGTTTCCTATTCAGCCATCCATCACAATGGTATCTGATACTGGACATTCAGATACTGTGTGTTCCTTCAATATCTGGTTGGGAAGAATTAGTTGATGATGTTACTATATTGTTAAACTCTTTAAAAGATTTTACCATCCCAATCCCCTCAGATACAGAAAATCTGTATCAAGAGGCAATAACCAAACTTTCTAATAAAATGGCTTCTATCTCTGGCACAGCTTCCATTACATTTCCATGCCTTTTGACTGTGGGCATGTAATGCTGGCTGTGTGGGAGGGAAATGGAAAAATTCTGTTTCATAATAGGAAATGTCTTGTATTCCCTGATGTTTCAAGGATCACTCAAGCAGGTGCAAGAAATTATTCATTCTCAGGGCTGAATTTATAGGTGTAGGTTTTTCAACTTTGGTCCTCTTTCTAGCAAAGCAAAGCTATAAAGATCAGAACCAATCTTTTTAGTAGTAATAGTATTACACTGGGAGAGCATTTCTTGTTTATCTCAAAATAAAAAACAGGATGATTCTTTAGGTCATTTGGAAAATGGTTTTGATGTTAGATTTTCTGACTTATCGAATCTTTAATGGCTCTTTATAAAGCTTAATGTTTCTTATAGATTCTCATAATGTTTAGTGCTTTATAAATATCTAAATTATATAGAAGATTTACAATCTCTAATTCATTCTCTTTCCCCCCCTCCCACCCCGGGTAGTTTTCAGTACCTTTTCCTCCTTCACAAAACATTTGTATGATGTATTGATATGACAATTGCAAAGCTTTTGTGCGAGTTTTCATATTGATTCATTTGTTATAATCATCTAAAATAATTTATTTCCAAAAGGAAGAGGGTCCATGAATGAATGACAAGATCTTCCAGTTGTGTAGCACTTTTCAGTCTGCAGAATCTTAAAGGGTTTTGCAAACTATATATATATATATTATACCACTCCATCCACCAGTGAATTGCAGTCAACCTTCTGAGGCGTAACATGGCAGCTGTTTAACACTGCTCAGCAACACTAGCCATCAGTTAGGGCAAGGAAATGAAGCAGAATACCATATCCTGTTGAAACTGCTGGTCAGTTTACACAGGCCAAATGTAATTACCCAAATCAGAATTTCACTAGGACTAACAGCAGCCTTACTTGTGTGAAAAGTACTATGGTGCATTTAATGGCCATAAACTGTTCCAGTCATAGCATGGTCTCTAACCTCCTACTGATGGGAAATATTTCTGATAAAGTGATGTTGGGAAATCTTAGTCCCTTTATGTTTGGATTAAGACACTGGTATGTAATATGGGAATGGGAATGCTATTCTTTTTTTACAGTCTCCATCTGGCAGCTGACGTAGTTGTGTCCATTATGTTTTTATTAGGTTTATTCACAGCCTTTAATGCCACTATGCATGAAGTTAGGTTGGGCTTCATTCTTTCCTCTTGAGAAAAGTAATAAGTATTTTACTCTCCATCCTCAAGGACTTTCACATGCAGCATCCTGCAGGATTCTGACTTGTCACCCAGCGTGTTGAGTGTGTATGTACAGATGCCAAGAGAGACCATGAGATGCTTCGGCTTGCAATGTCATCAGTAGGAGCATGACACTCCTCTCTACATCTAATTTTCAGCAACCCTGAATTCTGTGGCTTCCATGTTCTCCCAGGACCTGTCAGAAGTAGAGATGTGGGTGAGAGTAAAACAACTTTGGCTCAATCAGAATAAGGCGGAGGTGAGGCTGGTAGAGAGGGGCAAACCTCTGGAGGAATGGGCAAGAACCTGAAATTGCCTTCTGTTGGAGGCTCATGTCCAAGCTTTGCAGCTTAGTAATAGTCTAAGAGTCATAATGAAGCCAGACGGGCTTCTGGATTATCAGGTGTAAGCTGTGGTACAACATACTTTTTTTTTCTTTTCTTTTGGTGGTCCAGACAGCTGTGACGCTCTGATGCAGATGTTATTACAGTGATCCCCACCTCTGTCACCATGAAACTAAATTACTGAAATCCACTCTCCTCCAGACTATTGTTGAAATGCAACTGGAATGTTCAGCTGGTGCACAAAGAGCACCTCACCTCTTGACTGGAAGAGCCCCAAATGCCCCATACTCTGCACTGGCTATTTGTTCCCAAGTGCAGTTCAAGGTGTTGGTCACAAGCGGTCTCAGATCTCTGATACATAGCCTCTTTCTTCTTGCCTTGTTCCAGTGGTTACAATCTTGCTATTCCTTCTTGGAGACATACTCTCCAAAACAGGTGCAAGGTATTCTCTGCGGAGATCCCATGCTTCAGGACCTCACTCTTTCTGGCAGCCTGGAGGAGTCTAGGTTTGACAAGCTTCAGCAAGCAGTGCAAGACTTAACTGTTTTACCACACTTTGACTTAGCCAATGGGATCCCTACTACAGCAGAGTACAAAGAGTTTTACTTTGTCTCATCTTTCAGACAATAACTCTCATATCACACTGTCACCTAAATGGGGTATTGGTTCAATATTTATTCAAACCAGAAACCCACTTACAGAATCACGTAGAGCATTCTGGGTTTTTCTTTCATGGCTCCCATCCAAAAACTGACTTGCTGATCTTGAGTTCTGAAGAAATTGCAGATGAGGTATAGACAAATGAAAAAGAAGGGACATGCTCTTCTCCACCACTTCATTCCTTGACACTTTTCAGTTCCCTGTGGTCAACCTCATGGCCTCTTCCTTGAAGCCAAGAGGTTGGCATGGATTTCCTTCTCAAAATGCCAGTTTGCTCCACAGATTGGCCAGCAATATCTCCCTCTCCATTCACTGTCTCCAGTGGAATCCAAAAGGATCATTTTTTTAAGACACCCTGACTGAAAGGACAAGAAATCCAGCCAAGTTCTCTCCAATCCCCAGAGGTTTTACATGGGACTGTAATTCTTGGCCGCCTGCTGGCCCTACTGCCAATCCAAACTTCAGTGTATTTATTTCTCTCTCTGCTTTTCACAAGCAGGAACCTGGCCAGCTGATCTGAAATAATCAACCAATTTCAAATTCAATGCCACTATAATCACTGAACGGACTTAAAACATAGAACAAGTTTCAACACTGAATTGGTTTGTGATCTTGGCACAAGTTTGAAGACATCAAGAAATGCATTGGGAAAGATGCCTAAAACCAAAATAATGCCCTCACATGCCAATGAGACTCACTCTTCTTGACTGGGCATGACAAAGACAATTACATGGTGAGCTGTGGTCAAGGAGGTAAGATTAGGTTCCCTTGGAAACAGGATAATTTGGCACACAAGGAAGACCAGCACAGTGTAGCTCAGATCCTAACGGCTTTGTAGAAAGCTATTAACAAGCTGTTTTTCAATTAGGCTTAGCCCCTTCATATTTGTTGACAGTTCTGTAAATGCCTTATCACAAGGCTAACCCAACTGATTGAGTACTCTTTGTTCCTTATTTATTCTTGACAGGCAGAATAAAGGGAACTGACTGTTTCTGTCACTTCTTGACTTTGAATCTTGTGACTTTCATTTGAAAAATCAAAATATTTCATCTTCCCCCTCCCCCTCCCCCTTCAGATGGCTCTAGTTATCTGGAGGCTTGGGAAATGTCTCCCCTTAATGCATGTACTCAGCTCCCATTAACACTAATGAGAATTACGTCTGTTAATAGAGGGGGCAGCCTCTCTGTTTTTAAAGCACTGGCTTTCATATCAAGTAGTTTGACTCAATCGCCACTTAAAATTTTAATTGGGTTTGGAGATCTTAGCCCAGTGCCTAGCAAGTCACTCTCCACATTACAAAGCCCACTGAGCACAATACAATGCCACATCTTTCAGGCTGATTGGCTCCTCAGGATTGTCAGTCCATGCACCAAACTCCCATGGAAGTCAATGGCAGTCCTGCATAAAAAGTGACGCACTCTGGTGCAAAATTCATTAGAAGTCGTACAATACAATCCATGCTCTTGGCAGAGACAAAAAAGGACCAAATAAGCAACTGTCCTTACTAGCAGAGGCTTGTCCAAAAACTTTTGGCTCGGAGGTATTCTTTTTTACTGATCATATTGTTGTTTATTTATTTATTTATTTGTATTGTGGTAGCACCTAAGAGCCCCAGTCATTGACCCATGACCCCCTGGTGTTAGGTACTGAACAAAACACAAAATAAAAAAACTGTCCCTTCTCCAAAAGACTTGCAATCTATGTACTGTATGAATACTCTAAAAATAAGCAAAAGCATCAAAGTATTTAGAAAAACAAGGTAAATCACTTATTTATCAGCCACCAGTGAAGCCTGGAATAAGTGGTGGGTAGTGCATGACAGCAGACACTAACTTATTTCCTACCTGTGAACTCCTTTGACCAGGCTTACAGGCACCACTGGACGTGACATTTAGACACAGGGGCTATGTCGCTTAGCCATTTTTTAGAGTCACGAAAGGCTTTGCATTGAATCACTGGCAACTGTCCCAGTTAAATGCACGTGGCAATAATTAGAAAAGAGGGATGATTAAGTAGATTCTACTACTTGGAACAACGCTGAGCTTAATATAGCTGAAGATACAGGTTGTCCAACTAGAAATGAACACACTGCTCCCCACCTGAGTGCCATGAGGTGTAGCATACAGGAGATAAACAAATAGCTATGTGGCTTCCAAAGTAAAGGGCCCTGGGGCCTTTCTGAGTTCAGATATTGTATTTAGAGAAAAAGAGCAACAGAGCTTGTGACTTGTAGGAAACAATTCTAGGATATATTCTTACTAAGATTTCTTCCTCCCCCCCCCCCAAAAAAATGCTTTCCCTTTACACCCTGCAGTTATGAAAGGTCACTGATTAAATGACTGGAGCAGAGATTCAGTAAATATTGAAGAAATTTCTGTTACTTACCCATAATTCCACAAGAGAAGAGAGTAGGTCCTTGACTCATCTTTGGAGTGTGCTGAAAACAACCAGAAAAGCTATTCACTTCTCGTAGACTTGACTAACTCATTTGAAGTTATTCTGAACTTTAGGGCCCAATTCCACCACCCTTATTCTTGCTGAGTTAGCACTCAGTAGGACTAGTTAACATGAGCAAGAGTGGCAATCCATAGGGACTTGCCCAAAGAACTCAAGAGGCCGGGCTGGGGACAGAACTGAAATTCCCTAAGACCCAGTCTTGTGCATTAACCAACCAACCACCCTCCCTCCATATTTCCTTCAGTTAATCAAACTTCGTTAAGAACTGCCAGGTGGCAACACTGGGATCCAGTCACGCAAGCCCTTACTCCTGGGTGCGAGTATTCCACTGAAGTCAGGGACTACTCATGGCTGGACCCAGGACCCTAAACTACTGGGGAAACTAAACAAAGAGGGGGAGTTCCGCAATAATTTTGTGCTCGGACAAGCAAGAGGCCATTGGACTTATTGGGATTTTGAATTTCTTAGAGGCTCACTAAATTTTCCCAATTAGATACTAAAAGACCATGTTTAACATGGATTGTGTTTGCAAAGGTGGGCTCCCACACTACAGCTCTTCTTCAAATGATTCTCACAGCACTTGGTTTGTTCTTCTTACTTACACTGAAAATGGAAAAATCAATGTTATATGGGTACAAACCAATTCCAGTGACTTTGTGATGTTTTCTATTTAAACACCCTTTCCAACAATTTTTCCCTTGACAGCATAATCATCTTACGCCTTCTCCTAAAAACTGCCATGACCAAACTTCAGCTTTAAACGCAATAAATCAATATGCTCACTACAGGTGCAGAATATGTTAGCAATGCCTATCATGGTCACCATTCTTCCGCTGTCCCAAAAATGTCCCTATTCTACTTCTGACATTTTCCCCCTGCACCTGCATCCTACTTTACTTAAGTAATGATAATTTTATTTAAGTACTAGCACCAAAATAAATTCGAGGGTGATCTGTTCTGCCACATTTGCATTTTATCTGGGTTTAGGCAACTGCATATGCACCTACTTCTCTCCCAATTAATATTTTAAATGTTGTCCACTTACATAACAATACTGTGATTACTGCTGACAATCCATTATAAAAATAATCTAATGAAAATGATCCTAATAAATATGCACACCATATACCTTACAATCTAATATAAGGTGTTAAGGAGGCAGAAAATGCTAATTGTGCAGATGTGAAAAAGCCATTTAAGTTGTAAGTAAAAGTTTGGCCACCTTTTTGAAGCATGCTGTCACTTCCCAGGTAAAGTAGAAACATTTATCCATTGGGACCTAATTTATTTACAGGATGGTATGAAGTAACCAGAGAACAAAGATGACAAATAGCTGTATCAAAAGTAAGGCCAAACTAGAGCAAACTTGAAAAGAGAACAAACACTAGAAAAACAGTTTTTCACAGCATACATCTGCCTAGCAAATATCAAAGAAGAGCAAGTTCTGTTCGGAGACAAAAGTTAAGGTCTAAAAATGAGGAAGAAAGAAACATTTTGAAATGACATATGTTCCTATATTAAGTGCGATTGCCATTTCATAAGATTTGAGTTTTACATCAAAACTGGGAAGTAAAACAGTGAACTAATTCATTGGGGGGGGTTTTGGAGGTTTTTTTCGGTCTTTTGTTTTCTATATGTGGTTTTAGATTTTATTCAGTTTTCATTGTTTGGTTTCCACTTTTTGGGCCGGATCCAAAGCCCACTGAAGTCATTATAAAGACGCCCACTGTATTCAGTGGACTTTGGATCCGGCCCCTGTGTGAACATCTGCACCAATGTAACATCCCAGGCAATTAGAAATTTATATCCGGACCCATTTTTATTATTGTATTTACATAGCACCAAAAGTGCTAACAAACAATTAATAACCCAGGGCCCTGCAGCTAGGCAATTACATTCTAACTAGTCTGCAGTATCTCAAAAGCTAACAACTTTGCCCCCAGCAAAGGGAATGGAAGGGCTGCTTTTGTTGTTTTACAGTGGTCTGGTTCCATGTGGATCCATAGTGCACGGAATAATTTATACTCATCCCAAACCAGTGAGTCTCCCACAGCCACCAAATCTCATTAGTAGCGTGTACATGACACTTTGTCACTTCCCTTTGCCCACCCTCTTAATCCAATGACTTTCTAGTGAACTTTAGTCAATGGTTTGCAGAAGGCCTGCCTGGGGGAATCTTTCAGACCAGTTAAATTTCATCACGTTTTTCATATTTTTTCCTTTATTGGCTAATGACCAAAACAATGTATGTTCAGACAAGGACTTTGCTCCCTCATAGAACATATTCACCTCCTCTTTGGGGGACATTTGAGTTGTATGCCTCCTGGATTGCTCTCAGAGGGGACCCTGTGCCCACAGAACGGTGAAGTTCAGCCTCTGCAACATGCTTCCTCCAACCCTACCGAAGCTCCTCCTCCTTCCATGGGGACATCAGTTGTGCAATAGGCAGCTGCCCGTTGCCTTCTGCAGTCCCCCACAATCCGCACTGATCTTTGGGGGATCTGTCAGTTAAGGGGATGGAGCTCTCTGCTTCTTCTGCGGGGGTGGGGTGCGGGAGAGAGAGGAGTATTTGTACTTGTGCATCGTTTCTGAAACTCCCAAAGCATTTTCCAGGCAACAGCACCTTGTTCTAATTTCTTCCTAGACTGTGAATAATTCTCCTGAATGCCACTATATATAAACACGTTTGAGACTAGCATTGACTATTTGGCACTTTGAGAGCCTATTCAGATTGCTCTCTATTATCACCCCCAGGTCATTTTTGCACTCATTGCTTTCCAGGCAGTTGCCCCTAATTTGCATCTGTGCCATTTATTTCTTTTCCTTAGGTACACTCAGCCCACTGTTCCACTCTCCCCAATTCACTTGGCAATGTAATTTGGTCTTTCTGTGTGTTTGTTGCCTCTCTGATTTTTCTGTGCTGTCAGCTCATTTGATGGTGTTTGAATTTGCATTTTTCCCTAGATTCTTAACAAAACTGTTAAGTAACACAGTACTGACCCTTGCCATCCCCCACTTAATACTGCTCCCCACTTGCTCATCTTACTATTACTGGTGACCATCTGTTCACTGTTAGTCAGGCAACTTCTAATCCAAGCTATTCATCTAGTTGGTGTTTATCCAGTTTTTTAATGTGTTTATTCTATGCCACTAGATTGAATGCTTTGCTGAGATTCACATATACTAAAACCACAGCATTCCTGCTATTTACTAAGGGCCAGATGCTCAGCTTGTGTAAATGGATGTAGTTCAGCTGAAGTGTCTGGAGCTATACCAGTTTACACCAACTGAGGATCTGGCCCTAAATTTGAAATACATATTATACAGCTACAGTGCAGTGAGCAACAGGAAGACAGTTTGTAATTAAGATTTTACATATCTTACCAGCTCAGTCCTGCATGTCACAGAGTCAGCACCTTTGTTTTCCAGCGTTTTGGTTAAGATCATCACCATGGTAATGAAATCATGCATTGGGATCCATTACAGTACAGGCAAAGGTCACTATCAGCCATGTTACAGCAAAGCTTCTTTTTTAATGCATTTTCCCAAGTGAAAAGTTCAACAGAACCAACTCCCATCTGCTTCACTCACAGGATGGGTCGACAGTAGTTTCCAACTCTTGTTAACTCCCTGCATACACAAAAGAAAGACACAAACATTTGTAAAGCATTTTCACAAACCAGAGAGCTTAAGTGCAAGGTTGTAAGGGAAGGATGAGAAAAGATGTGACAACTTTTAGGTGCTGTAGTCAATGAAACAATGGACTATGCATCAGCCTGTGAATTGTGTAAAATTACTGCAATAATCTTGTCTTGGCTACTGGCTACTTAAGGGGTATATTTACTTCAAATTCATGTTACTTTTAAAAACTGTTTTCAAGTTACACTGCATCTCATTACCTTACTCTGTGTTTAACCACATAAGATGATAGGAAATTTCATGAGATGTAAGATGCAAATAAAATGACATGGAGTAATGTCAGTATTAAAATATGTAAATATGTTAACAGTTCTTAAAATCCTTTTGGCTCTGATATCTATACTAAACTAGAGACATGGGTATTATACCACTGATGACATGCACTGATAGGTAAAAGTCACATAATTATCCACAAAACACAGTCATTTTAGGGTGCTATCAAAAATTAAATATAGTGCTCTTCCACCACAAAGTCTGGTGTGTTCTACCTTCCTGTAGTTTTAGTATTTGTTCTAAAGATGAATAAGAGCTTTGAGCTCCTCAGATGAAAGGCACCATAGAAACACAAAGTATTATTAGTCAGTAGTTCCAGGGATGTTGTAGCTACTTGAGCTCTACTCTGAACAGAGCTGGCACTAGGCATAAGCAGATTAAGCAATTGCATAGGGCCTGGAGCAACGCAAGGGGCCCCTCTATTAGTACGTTTTTTTTGGGGGGGGGAGAATATTCCTGCTTAGGACCCCCAGTGGGTTAGCACCGCTTCTGACTCTGACTTAATTCTATCAAGACCAAATCCTGAAATCTTCACTCAGTTTCTAATCAATTCTTATGCCAGCAAAACACCCAGTAAATCCATAGGCCAAATTCTGAAATTCTTACTTATGGTCAGACAACTTCCCTTTGCAGAAATACATGTGCCAGGGAACACCATGTGATTCCCCTTCTGGACTTTCCTCTGAATTCCTTTATTAAAAAGTGGTCACTAGGCGCTGTCCCCTACAAAGAAGAAATTAAGGTTCTGAAACAGGGATCCACCAACGTCCCAGGACCAATCTCACAAAGGCCTGGTGCCTCCAAATCAGTTCTGGGCATCCTCGGGCTCTGCTAGAAACTCCCAAGCTAAGGATTTCCCAGCACAGAGCGGCACTTTTCTGATTGCATTAACTTTCCTCTGCTGATCTCCACTGCTTACCACCCCCTCATGGATTCCTGGATCCATGCAAAACCCTTATGAAGAAGGCAATGGAGTGGTGGAGTTAGCTGACTCCTCCTTCCATGTAGGGAGAGGAAGAGCTCTCCTCATCCACAAATCCCGAGGGCCACAATTTGCCACTCCGTTTTTACTCAGTCTTAGTTTACTTTTTACTTTAGTCTTTACTTGGGAGTTTCACCCAACTAAATACTGAATAAGGGCTTTAGAATTAAGGCCCCAGTGTGTATTAAAAAGAAAGAAATCAAGTAAGGCTTCCATGGTACTGAGCAAACTACCAAATATTCAATAATAGTAGCCCAATCATTTCTCAGCTTCTGGCAGTCTCTGTGGCAAAGGTACTGCTATTCAAAACCAGACAGATTGCAATTCAGATCTGATTATAGAAATCAGTGTTTTTCCTAAATAATTCCCCTAATCCTCTTTCACCATTTTGCTGTATTGTGGTTAAAGCAACTGAAAAAATAATTCATATAAATGATTTGAAAAACACAAAACCCTTATCTCCCAATATGCAATTAAAAATAAATTGCTATATGAAAGAACAAAATTTGAGAATATGCTGCTAAGCATTAAAACTCATTATGAACTGATATTGATTGGCTTTGCAGATTGTAAATCATATTTTCTCATTTATTTGGATTAGAGTTTGTGGTGGATGTTATTGAGATTGTTCAGTTAAAGACCAGCTGGCTAGTGTAAAAAAAAAAAAAAACCTACTATTGTCTTGTGAGAACAAGGTTCATCCAGAGTGCAAAACTAGGGGGTGGGGAGGGGGAAGAATCGATACTTTTTTCTTATGATTTACCGTTCAAAAGGGCCAATGTTAGAGACTCGAGATTCTCATGTTAGATTGGTCAACTTAATGTACAATTTACTGGTAACTTCCACATAAATCTGTGACCAACCCAACGACCAGGTGGAAACTGTCAAAGCTAAACGCAAAGAATTTCAGGCAATCAAAATTACACATAATTAGCCAAAATCAAACCACATATTTGTAATACAGATAGCCTGGATTTGTGCAAGTAGCGTGCAATGTAAAAAAGGCAGAGTGGGTAGAGGCACAGAAATCAATCACATCAGACTCCCGTTTGAAGAATTACGTTAACGTGAAGTAGGACCCTTTTAGTTCGTGCTCGCAGTGTCCACACAGGGGAGTTATAGTGCAGCACTTCGATGTGCACTGCTATTCACATCCCATAGTCCTAATTGCAGGGCAATGTAATAATAGGGCAACAAAGCCGCAGTCTGCACAGTTGTTACTCTGCGGCAAACTGTTCAGAACTTCACGTCAACAGCAGGGATAGAACTCAAGTACTCCTATAAATGCACAGCCTCCTAATGCTTACGCTAAAAAAGAACCTGCTTAACTTATACACAATATAGGGCCTGTGACCCACAGATGTGCACTTCTGAATCTCTCCAGTAGCAGGCAAGCCACAGATGCCTGACATTTGACCAATAAGCTAGTCATTCCCCTCAGAGATTCCTCCACCTTGACATAAGCCTAGCCAGCTAAAGGAGATGAGTCAATGATACCACAAAGGCCTATGCATTGACATCAGACCAGCAAACTAGCACTGTTGAGTCAGTGACATCACAGGCCTGCCCTTGAGAAAAGACCAGCAAGCTACAGGGGCTAAACCTCAGAGAGAGCTGTACCATCAGATCAGCATGTTGAAGTGGCTGAGTTAGTGACTTCACAGAGGCCTGAGCATTGACATTAGGGATGCCAAACAAGGTACGTTGGCGTCAAACCAGCATGGGAGTTGCTCAGCAGACATTAAAGTAAGAGGGAGCATGTGAGAGCCACAGCTCCCCATCCTCCACTAACACAAGGAAGAGAG